AAAAATCTAGAAGTCTTGGTTCAGAGATGATGATCCCTTTTATTAGGCCAACTAATAAAAGGTCTAATAAAAAGGTATCATCTATGAACCAAGAGTTCTAGAGTTTTGCATTTCTTTTAGTCTCAGACCAACACCAAATACATCCCTAGATCCTCTCAGGGCAGATAGATGTGAGGGTTAGAAGGGACCTCAGGAAATGAGGGTGGGAGGGAGCTCAGGAGGTCACATCTAGTCCAACCCCCTGCTCCAAGCAAGACCATCCCCAACTACATCATCCCAGTCAAGGCTTAGTCTACCCGGGTCTTAAACACCTCCAAGGATGGAGACTGCACCTTGCTAGATAACCCATTCCAGTGCTTCACCACCATCCTCATGAGAGAGTTTTTCCTAATATCCAACTTCATGTTCCCTTGCTGCAATGTGAGCCCCTTGTTCTGTCAGCTGAGAACAGCCCAGCTCCATCCTCTTTGCAGCCCCCGCTTCAGGGAGCTGAAGGCTGCTCCTAAATCCCGCTCTGTCTTGTCTTCTCTAGACTAAATCAGCCCAGTTCCCTCAACCTCTCCTCATAAATAGTCATTTCTAATACCTTTTTCTAACACCGCGATAGGAGCTCTAGCTATAACTGGCACACTGAGCTAGTAGTGGCTTGCCTCAGCTGAACTCCACACTGCAAGACAGCGGGGTTTCAGCTGGTGCATGTGGCATCCCATGTGGTCCCATCCACCAGCTGGGAGCTCCTCTTCTGCCCTTGTACCAGAAGGACTGGAGAAGAAGTACTTGTGTGCCAATAGCTCTGGCTGCTCCCTTGTCTGCAGCCGGTCACTGAGGGAGCCCAACCAGTCAGTGATCAAGGGGAAGTATGAGATCATTTATTATCCAAACATTCCAGAACAAAGGTGCCCTCTTAAAGTTAGTTTCATGTTCTGTGAGCAATGCAGCCCCCGGCCCCACCACCATGTGCGTGTTTCTGGCAGTAAGACTTGACTGAACACAGAGAAGGAAAGGAACTTCAGAGCCACTGAGTGGGGGAACATTCCAGGAAACCATCCATGCTACACACTCGCACAGTTCCAGCCACTGTAGGTAGCTCCTCCCTCGGCACATCTGTGTCCACGTGGTGAAGAGCTAGTGCTACCAGCATAGTCATTTTGGCTTCTGTTCATGCTTGAACTCTACCCGTCTGCAATTCCAACAGACTTGCATAGCAGAGATTTGCTGATGTGGGGAAGAGGCCAGCTACGCAGTGACACCTGGTGCTGTGCAGAGCGCAGTGGTACTTACAGTTCTTGGTTCAGTATATCAAAGAGGCAAGAGCTGGCAGCTGAGCACTTTTTTTAAAGCAAGTTTCGGACAAACTTAAACCCTGCGCTGGTTCTGCTGGGTCTGGAATGTCTCGTAATCTCCTGGAACAGTGTCTGGAGGGGAGGGAGAGAAGTAGATTAGCAGAGGAAGTGGAAAGGGAAAGCAGTGGCATGAGCTGGAGGCGCAGCTACATGGGGGTGACAGCAGGAGATGGACGAGTACCGGAAGAAAGCAAGATTTGCTGTGCGTGGGCTTCCTCACTGGGGAGCCTGTGGATCTCCTCCATGAATCTTTGCAGTGCCCCTGCAGTGGCATTTGCTTATTCACATTTAAATAGGAGTCAGCTTCAAACCCAAGAGAAGGTGCTGCCGGGCGCAGGGGCACTGCCCGTATTGTCCTAACCAACCTCCAGGGAAGTGACTGTTCTACCTCCAAACCTCCCACAGCGTCAGTACCCCAGAAAGTCCCCATGGTGCGGTCTGCATCTCAGCAGTGGCCAAGGCTGCATCTAGCTGAGGGACTCGCTGGCTCTGGAGGGGAGGTCTGGAGTGCAGACAGGTGCCCCTTCCTGTAAGGGAGGCTGGGGGCGAGGGGGAAGGGTTGCATCCTGACGCACCTTTAAGTACAAAATGCAGGTCAGGTGTTCAGTCTGTCAGGAGAGCAGGGACCACTGCTACCCCAGACACAGGCCTCTAGATGCCTGGAGCAAGCTGTTCTCTGTGCTGACATGTGGAGCACTCACCATTGCAACGGTAGCGCAGGTTTGACCAGATGATGTTCTCCTGGGAGAAGCAGAAGACACCCAAGCGACCCCCTCGCATGGTTGTATCAAGAACCACACCGGTGTCCGCTACCAGGTCAGGGCCTTCGTAGAAGCGAGCTCTGAAAAGGGACAGAGGGGTTGGGTGGCGCTAGGTCTGGCCTTTCTCCAAGGAGGAGGGTTCTCCTTTCTGCCATGGTGTGAACAAGGGGAGGAGCACAGTGTTGGGATCTCACCGCTGTTTCAACTATGCTTGAAATATTTGGGGCAGATTCCAGGTCCTCTTGGAAGGGGCACAGAGCAAATCCTGCCCCTTACCTGATGTAGCCAACTTGGGGCCGGTGCTGGAGGAACCAGCGGTAAGAGGTCTTGTCCTTCCAGCCAACATTGCGAGGGTCTTTCCACAGCAGTTTGACCTGGTCAGTGGTGTCTCCTGTGTGCCACAGGGAATTGCGGAGATACTCGCCAGGGCCCGTTTTAGATTTCACAGCCTGTGGGAAGAGAGGTGGTCTTGGTCGGGGGGGAGACCAGGCAGCCAGGTTTGTGCACTACACAGGCCTGCTTGGTGTTGAAACAAGGCAGAAATT